CTCATAGTTTGATGGTATATAATTTTCATCATCACAGCCTCTGGTTAACCAATGAGTTAATCATAAAATGGAAAAAAGAAAACGAATAATTACAATAAAAAAAAGTGTATCAAAACGCCTCAGAATCTGTATAAGTTTTGGTAACATCACAGACAGAAATATCTCAGATGGTACGGACAATTTTGATGCATCACAGGCCTATATATCAAAACAACTAAAACATTTAGTTTAGAATTTAGAGATTGAATTGGAGATGGAGGAAAGGAGAGGAAGGGAGGGGCGGCGGCTCATGCGCAGTCGGTAAGGATGTCTATTGCTGGGACTAAATAGAGGTTTCGAATAGGGCAGAAACCCTAATTTGGTGTTCTCTTAATTTAGCTAACTGACCCGGGCGATGTTTCGGCCCAACCCAACATCAGAGTTCAAAACTCAAAACATTGTTTAAGACAATGAAAGCCTAGCCCGATATGATACGAAGTAGTTTTAATACACCTAGACTGTGGGACTTCTTCATGGAGAAGAAAAAAATATCATTATTGGATAAATTAGGATTTTATCATTGGCCAAGCTATGGCGATTCATTGATCCTGTCATGCATATTATTGATAAAAAATATTGGTTATAAATAACATCATTGGCGTGAGAAATAGTGTTTGTTATGTGTAAAAAGGTTGTATTCATGTAAATAAAATTATATGCATTAAATAAAAAACAGTAGGAAAGGTTGAGCTCTATCCAATACTCACCCCCTATCACCTAGTATACATTGCTCTTGTGTTCAAGCTGATAAGAAAACTTGAAATCTACACGCACAAAAGCAGGCTCAATAGATCATAAGGATAAGACAAACATGGATAAAGCAAGGAACAACTTGCTAGTAACTGAACCAGCTTGCTTCAATAAAGAATTGCAGGAATCCATAAGGAAAAAAGAAACTTACTATCATTGCTCCAGTAGGATCAATTTACCAGTAGTATCGGAGTGCTGAAACTACTATTATCAAACCAGTTGAATTTGTTATGACATCACAGAAATGATCTTAGCATGAAATTTGAATATTCAATTTTTATTGAGACCCCATGATGGCACGCTGGTGATTGGTACATCTTCACCAGGCGAGGGCGGTAATAAAAGCTTGGTTCTATAGTCTGATAAATCGATTCGAGGACTCGTCGCCATTCCCCCCTAAGAAGAGTGTTTGCTTGGAAAAGAAGGTAACATAGTCATGTTAGGATATTGTTATTATTATGGTAAATACCCCACTTCCACTTTGTATAAGTGGAACAACTTATCACCCACTTGTTATAAAGCGGAAACATATTTTGTAGCATAATTGATGCCATATTTTATGGCTTTCTTATTCTCTCCATGTTGACAAATGTGCTGGAAAAGCTTACTATTGATGCCTATAAAAAGAGGCATTATTGGAAAGCAAAGGTTGAGATAGTGAGAGTGTAGTAGAAGAACAAAAGAGAATAGAAGAGAAAGTTGAGTGTTGAAGAAGCTTACCATTGATGCCACACGTATGCCACGCGTCTTATTCGCCCAAATAGACTGACTTGAATCGAATACCAGACGACCTAACCTACGTGATTGACCTGGTAATGATGATGTTGTTATGCACAGTGGTATGCCATGTCAGCGACTAATCAACTAACATGTCAGCACAAAAGGGCCCACATGCCACATCATCAATCACAAACAGAGCTGAGTTGAGCCTAGTTGCGAGCTGAAGGATAATATCCTATATGGTTGATCCTACATGAAATCAGATCTGAGATTGAATCTGGATCGCTTATCAGGCCAGAATTGTTTTTATCAAATCTTAGTAGTCTGAAATGTGATTTGGACAATTTTAGACTTGTTTATATCTAATTTGATCATTTCAGAAGCAATGGTACGGTTTGATTATTGAAATTTAAATTGAAAGTGGTGGTGGAGAATTAATAAAAGAGATTGCCCAATCAGGAGGTATCTGAAGGTTATCATAGTGATTGATGGAGATGAAAAAGAAGAAATCATACATGTTTGTCCAATTACATATACTGAACCGCTAAGTGGGGAGATTTTTTTCAATTGCCTTGAGGGAAGGTAAAATTGGGACACCCTGGACACTCGATCATATAGACAATTAAATGTGTAGAGTGAAAATTAATAAAGACTAATTTTGATGAATTTAAGCACTAATAGTCTTGCTAGATGTTGAGAAATCAAGTATAAAACTAAGATATTCCATATCACTTATAAAGGAAAGCCACAACAAAGCTAGCAAATGGTTGCATATACAGAAAGGCAGTATAATGGATAGATATGGCCTAAGATGTTCTATCTAGGAGATTACGTTTTAAGTGGAACCAGTGTGACCCTCCAATCTTTCTTAGGAACTTACTTAGTTGAAGGATTATCTATATGGTACTATTTTTATATATGTAATAATTTGTAATGAAATTATTGAATATTAGCAGGATGACGGCACAAAGGAACAATTGAGTTTTATATGATCAAGTATTAGATGGAGTGGTGATTTCTCAAAATAAGTTAGATTTGGTGACTGTAATTTCGTGAAATGAGGATTGATGAAGATCCTGATAATGGAAGAGAAATATAGTAAGGGGATATATATTGACACCTTATTTTGACTTGAATAGATGTTATGACAAGATGAGCTATTGTCAAATATAAGCAAGGAATATGGAGAATCTAGAGAACATAAATTGCATGAAGGCATACAGAAATTATGCAGGAGCACACTTAGATCTAATAAGATACTGTAATGAGACAACAGGTGTAAGGAGAAGAAGTGTTCCTAGATGAAGCTCAAAGTAGAGACTATATAGAAGTTGTACAACAGGAAGTTTATTGCGCTTTTGATGAACATAACAAGTGAAGACCTTTCTAATGCATGCAAGGATGGAAAGATGAGCTATTGCAGAGACACCTAATTAAAAGGGTGCAAACATCTGTGATAAAATCTGACCGCTTATGATAAAAAATGAAGACATTAAATAGAGTTGGTGCAAGTAGAATTGTCAAGCAGAAAGTCGTATAAGCTCCAAACATAGAAACTAAGATGAAGGATTATAAGGAGTGTATCGCAACTTTCTCTTCTATGTGATCAGTGACTGTGATCTCTCCTATAGTCCATATGGTGGTAGAGAATTATGAAGCCATTTTAAAGCATCTCAGTTGAAGGAGGATGCGATCACCTATAAAAGGCGAAGACACCTTCGACAAAAGTGTGAGGGCCATGAAATAAGCCCAAGTTCAGATTGTCCTATGCTAGGCAGAGACACCTTAGGAGAAGGTGTGAGGGTCATGATATGAGTCCCAAGTTCAGAACACCTTAGAGCTGATGTGATAGCTAGATAAGAGTAGACAGATGTATGGATAGCTAATAAAGTGATTAAAATGAGTATAAAGATAAATATCGAATTGATTTTGATGAATATTGCCTCCATACTAAAGATCAATGAGCTAAAAGATATTTGTATTTGACAATAAGTGGATGACTTATGGAGCATTAAGATGCGACTGCTAGGAATGAGCAGAGGGTATGCGTAGGTTCCAAGAATACGTTAACTCTTGTCAAAGTGGTGACCTTAATAATAACATTGTGATACTCATAGTATGGAGACAAATATGAATTAACTTTTGATGGGTTGCCCTCAAGGTTAAAAGTGAAGAGCTACCTGGACTTTTAGGACTAAGAACGAGAGACTTATGAAGAAGTAAGGTGTGGTTCCCAGGGTGGAACAGAGGGCAGACACAACTTCTGGTTGAGTAGACTATTGAAAGAGTGTTGAGCTTGTGATTACATTCAAATACTTAGATAATGACTATTATACTTTAAAATAGAACTTTTCATTTGAGGGGGTGTTGTAAGCCTTGGTGTAAGGCTTGAAAAATCATTTCGTACCAAGCATGGTTGATATGCTTGAAGGGGAATGTTGTTCTAGATATAAATGTTGGCACTCTTCAAATGAGATATGACAAACCATCTGGTTGAAATGATCTTTTAAAGTAAGTAAATGGGTGTTTCGATGACTCTGGTGGTTGAAAGGTTTCGCCAATACCTGTAAACTTGGTCATGGACACTCTTAAAAATGGTAAGCTTAAAAAAACTGCAGGATGCAAGCTTGTGCTGAAGAAGTAAGAGGACAATTGCCCATACAAATGGTAAAAGGGATGATTGTTAGAATATTGTTATTATTGTGGCAAATACCCTACTTCCACTTTGTACAAATGGAACAACTCATCACCCACTTGGTATAAATTGAAAGCACATTTTGTAGCATAATTGATGTCATATTTTATGGCTTCCTTGTCCCCTCCATGTTGACAAATGTGCTGGAGAAGCTTATCATTAATGCCTATAAATATAGGTATTATTGGAGAGCAAAGGTTGAGATAGTGAGAGTGTAGTGGAAGAATAAGAGAGAAGAGGAGAGAAAGCGAAGTGGCTGCCAAGGGTAGTAGCCCTGCTGCCGCGTGCAGTAGTGTGTGAGAGCAATGAGAGTTGAGAAAGGGTGAGCCTCTTCCTCCATGTATTCGTGTTGTAACCTTTTCTCTATTTATCTTTAATAATATTTATTTTTTCCATGTATGTAGGCAATTTGTCAAATTACGTTAAATATTGTATTAATGTGCTTAGTTTCCAATGGACAACTATCAGAACATCACTGATCGGATTCCCCGACAAGCCACTCCTTGAATGGAAAGGAACCTGAGAAATGCATTGCCAGATAATACAATCTATTTTATGAACATTAAAACACATCAAGTCATCTTAGTTCAAAGGAGAAAAGATTAAATACCTATAATATCTTTGAACCTCATGGCTAATGCATTCCGAGTTTCTCACAGCAACTACAATGTTCTAGTCTTTTTTTCTGCTTTTTTTTTTCTCTAACGGAATGGGAGTTCACAGAATAGCACATTACTAAACACTATTAAACCCATAAATGAATATAAAACAAGTTTAGATAAAGAAATACAAGTTTCCAAAATCCCAATTTAAAATTACAAAATAAACATTACAATGAACAAAAGAAGAGCTCTCTTCCACCCCTAACACCCCTCTAAGTTATACCCCCACAGATAAATATCAAATCCAAGCTACCATGTTTCTCCATCTCCAAGTTTATAGGTACACTCTTATTATACGATCACCTTACTTCATGTAATTTCTTCTGTGAGATTTCACTTGTTTTTTCCATCATTAATTGAATATCTTTTCAAGAAGATCCTAGAAAGTGCTCATCATGCCTTGAACCATGATAAGGCAGTCTCCATTAAAGGATTTTCTTTCAGAATATTCATGGACGTTTGGACTTGTGCTCCAGATGATGGGTGGTATCAAAATCGACATGGACAAAAGCCCTTTCTACTTCAGGAAGTTGTTCCAGCTTCTCTTCTAGTGTCTCCCCAATATTATGTGCTTGATCAAGAGACATATCCTGTGGTAAGACTATATGAACCTCCACAAAGTACTGACAACCAAATGTGTATGCTCTAACAGTTTCAATGTGCTTAATATCCTTGTGATGGTTCCAGATTAGATACGTCAGCTTAGCTAAATACTCTGGAGGAGCTGTCCTCCCTATTAATGACCAGACATTCTCCACGACTGTCTTAGCCCAATTGCCCATCGTATATAAAGCTATCTGCATTATAGTTTCAACATATCAGTTGTTGCTATAATAATGTGAAAAAAAGGGGAAAATATACAAAGATTACTGAATAATTCTGATTCATGAACTAATACTGTCAACTTACAGCGATGGCTCCAATAGGATCAATCCACCAGTAAAACTTGATAGCTAACACTGCTGTCCCTAGACCAATTGAATTTGTAATGACATCGAATAAGTGATCTTGAGCATATGCCCTAACAATCTCATTGCTGAATCTGCGGCAATATACCGCGAGAACAAATTTTACCACTGTGGCAGAGACCATAATGCCAATCATCCATTTTTCTTTGTCAGGATCTCTTTCTGGCTGAGCCTGCATAGAGTAAATCGAAAAGATGACTTTAATTGATTTATGGTTATATAGAAGTTGTAGCATATACTAATAAGTTTTGCACTGCCATACCCTTGTAATAAGTTCTCTTCCTGACTCGAATAATATCTGTAATCCAAGAGTTGCCATTACTGATGCGAAAATAACTATTCCCTGCCAAAAAAAGAGCACTGAATCGGTGAAAAAGCACAGAAAATATAAGACGACTTGAACAATTGATAACCCAAATACAGAGTTGTGATCGATATAAAGTATAAACTCATTAGATTTTTTGCCAACGTGTATCACACTTGCACCATCTTCAATGACCTAAAGTTCATATCTTCTTAATGCTACTCGAGAAAAAAGTGAGCAAATGAAGCGTTGCTTAGTTTTGAGTGTCTCTGTTAACGATGCACCAATACAAGTGTGTTGTATGTGAAACAAAACAAAATTCCGGGGACATTAATTGGTTTAGTAATATAATCACCCTCTTTCAAGTCACTGCAAAACAACGAGAAACGAGTTCATATATATATACAACTTCACGATCAGCTGAGGGAACAAGGCCTACCACAGGTTGCATTCTTTGCTTGCCAATAGGATATTGAAATTGATTTGGTTTTCTCATAGTATGAGCAGTAAACCACAAAATAAACCCTGATAATAAATCCAAGAAGGAGTCCAAAGTTGAAGCTATCACTGCCAATGATCTGCTCTCAATAGAAGCATACACTTTTGCCAGGAAAAGCACCAAGTTGGCTACATTTGATGCATATATTGCCCCTCTCTCATTTCTTGCAAGCTGTTTCATTTCATCCTGAACCAACAAAAAAAAAAATGTCAAGCATAAAGAAGATCACATGATCGAGCGAAATCTTCACGAGAGCCAATTGGGAACAAATTAAAATGAGTGTAACAGAACCGACTGCTATCATCAAGATGCTCTCTATAAGATCATCGTCTCAAAATAGTTATGACCCAGGATAAGTGGTTCCAGTCCTCTAAGGCACTCATATTTGAGGAGCTGAAAATTAAAAAGAAAGGAAGAGAAGGAAGGTAAAAGAACTTAACCTCGCTTAAACTTCCAGGCAAAATACCCAACTCAATGAACGAGTCTACCTCATGGAATCCCTCGACAAGCTTTTCCTGCCTTCTGTAGTATTCTGAAATTCTCTTTTGTCTCCCTGCCGGAGAGGAAAAAAGAAACCTTAAATTTACTAAGCAACTATATTAAGTTTGTAATTAGTGATGTGAAAAATCAATTTCTAGCTTACTTAGTGTTTTTAGAAAATATCCAAAGCCAAAATGTTTATCCATCCGCCTCTCTGGCAACTGGAACTTATCCACACCAAGTTGCCAAGACGGCTCCCTTGTCATCGTGCTCACATTCTCTCCTGTCGCAGCAGGTGATAGAAGCTCCGTTCGATAGTCTAACGAATCTGTTCGAGGACTGCTCTGTCTGCTCGCCATTTTTAAGCCCAGGAAATTGCTTCGAACTTGTCCGGGGCTTATAACTTTTGAGCTGTGTGTTCCAATCAGACCAAGCTCTCTTTGCTGTAAACAGGGAAAAGTTTTAGTATGAAAAGATGTGCTTTGAAGTGGAGCAAGAACTATAGCCACTTCTTTTTATCTAGTTAACAAGAGGGCCCCCAGATTATGTACACAGAAAGCATGGAGAACGTTGATTTCATCACACGAGCAGATAGGCGGGCCTGGAAATCGGAGACATTTTCAAAGTAACATCATCTCATGCCTTCATTGGAGGCTGGAGCTGACTCCATGTATTTAATTCAGGATTGTACTCCAAGTATGAAAGGAATCTTAAGCAACGAATAAGTTCCTTTTCACACCATAAAATTGATTTCAGTTCTTGCTTGGTGAAGTGGCTTTTCAAGATCCATTTCTAGCTGGTCCACAGCCAAAAGGGATTTGCATTTTGCAGTAATATTCATTTGTAATTGACTGATCACGACACGGCCATTAGCTAGAGGTCCTTGGGGCTATTGAGCTGTGGAGGACAATCTAATTACACACTTTACTTTTAAAGTAGGAATTCTGTAGTTGGGAAAATCTGCTTCGACAGGTTTTCCTCTCAGGAATACAAACTTTTCTTTTCCCTCCGATTTCTTCACTACTTTTATTCAACCATTACAGAGTTGCACAGATAGAGCTTGAAACTTGGAACAAGCTTGCTCCAAAAGAAAAACATGAAGAGAAGCACAGAGTCTTCAAACTTATGTGGTGCCTTCATGTCACAGCTTAATTTGCAGTAATGTTAAGATTAAAATTAAAATAAAATCAGCGATCACAATAATTAATTCCATAGATTCCCATTTCCATCAATGGGCTCCTCTTTTTTTTTTTTTTTCCTTCTGAAAAAGCTATCCGCCGGCTCTAAGCATTGATATATAAAGATGGTAAACTTTAACTTAACCCCAAAACTATATCCAAGTTTGAATTTAACCCCAAATAAAATTTCAAATGTCATTTTTCAGCGAAGATTCTTCCTACAAAACAGCTTCGGTTTTTGAAGCATAAACGCAAACTTGGACAGAATCCACTAACAGATATAGATAAAGGGATTCAATTGAGAATTTTATACTCGGAGACAAAAAATCAAAGTTATTTAGGACTTAATCCGGAATACTTTATAGTTGGAGGGGTGACTCAAAAGAAAATCAAAGTAAAGCTTAAAAAACGAAAATGACAGAAATCAACCAAACACTTGTTTACTTACTGCTCCTAGTAAAGAGAGAAAAAAAAAGCTAACTGAAAACAAGAGCGAGCTATCGAAGTCGAAACCCTAAGATTCTCTCTCATCACAAATAGCACTTCTCACTGTGAATCAGGGTTTATCAAAGCTAGGAAGATGGTCAGTTTCTTTTGTATCCGTGTACTTATATAGTATAGGTGTATGCGTATGCTGTTTGCTAAACTGATTGTATTGATTTCTGCTTGCTTTATTCTAGTTTTCATCAACATATGTGTGCGATGAGGGATTGATTGTTTCTTTTGAATTATTTTGTACAATTATGTGGTAATCACTGTTAATTGTAGGTTTTTTAATTTACTGGTGTAAACTTTAAATGTATTCTTTGGAGAATTTGAAGTTACATTGAGTTAGGCTTTGTTAATTGGTGAGTTTAGGGTCTTGCTTGCAAAAGAGGAGCAAAAGGAAGAAAATTCTTCTTGTTGCAAAAAAGAAGTCATCACTAGTTTTTTTAGGGAAAAAAATCTTAGTTTGTGTAAATTTAATGCAGTTTCTTTTTTTTTTTTTAATGTTTCTTGGACTATGTGATGTATGTGCGCACTCAGCCTGTTTTCACGGAAAAATTTTAGTTTGTGTAAATTTAATGCAGTTTCTTTTTTTTTTTTTAATGTTTCTTGGACTATGTGATGTATGTGCGCACTCAGCCTGTTTTCACGGAAAAATTTTAGTTTGTGTAAATTTAATGCAGTTTCTTGTTCAAGAAAATTCTTCTTGTTGCAAAAAAGAAGTCATCGCTAGGTTTTTTAGGAAAACAAAAATCTTAGTTTGTGTAAATTTATGCAGTTTTTCTTGGATTATGTGATATGTATGTGCGCACTCAACCTGTGTTCAAGCAAAAATTTTAGTTTGTGTAAATTTAATGCAGTTTCTTGTTCAAGAAAATTCTTCTTGTTGCAAAAAAGAAGTCATCACTAGTTTTTTTAGGAAAAAAGATCTTAGTTTGTGTAAATTTAATGCAGTTTCTTGTTCAAGAAAATTCTTCTTGTTGCAAAAAAGAAGTCATCACTAGTTTTTTTAGGAAAAAAGATCTTAGTTTGTGTAAATTTAATGCAGTTTCTCTTCTTCTTTTTTAATTTTTTCTTGGATTATGTGATATGTATGTGCGCACTCAGCCTGTGTTCAAGCAAAAATTTTAGTTTGTGTAAATTTAATGCAGTTTCTTGTTCAAGAAAATTCTTCTTGTTGCAAAAAAGAAGTCATCACTAGTTTTTTTAGGAAAAAAGATCTTAGTTTGTGTAAATTTAATGCAGTTTCTTGTTCAAGAAAATTCTTCTTGTTGCAAAAAAGAAGTCATCACTAGTGTTTTTAGGAAAAAAAATCTTAGTTTGTGTAAATTTAATGCAGTTTTTTTTTTAATTTTTCTTGGATTATGTGATATTTATGTGCGCGTTCAGCCTGTGTTCAAGCAAAAATTTTAGTTTGTGTAAATTTAATGCAGTTTTCTTTTTAATGTTTCTTGTATCATGTATGTGCGCACTCACCTGTGTTCAAGCAAAAATTTTATTTTGTTTTGTTGCCTGTGCATGCACAGTCTGTCTTCGCTGTGAAAAAAATGGCAATCTTACTGATTGATGGTTTATAAATTTCTATTATTCCAAGTTGTTTTCTTTGTGTTTATTAAGCATATTTTCATTTGATGGGTTATAAATATGTGCTGAATCATGCAGTTCTATGTTAATTATGGTCATGTAGGAATTTAAACAAAAATCATTTTCAATGTGTGTGTGTTCACTTTATTTTTCTTTAAGTTTTTTCTTCTTCTTCTTTTGTATGCATTTTTTTTCTACAGCACAAGTTAAATAGAGGCAACCGTGAGAAAGTCCAGCAGTTCATGAGTATAACTGGGACAAGGTAAACCAAAGATTAAATTTGATGTTGCTACTGTACTTGGAATGATCATTATTGAGACTAAACTTTAAATTAAATATGAGGTTCCTGGAGGACCCTTTCCCTTGCTGTTGATACTCCTCTTTTTAAAATTAAAATTAAATAATGGTAGCAAGAATTAACTTTCATTGGAAAGATCTTGTGTGCATGTGTGAGTAAAGTAAGAATTGTATCCAGGTGCTTTTCTGTTTCTTTTATTTCTATTTCTCATTGCTTATCGAAGCAATTTTTAGAATTTAAAATTGAACTTATTGTCTAATCAACATGTTTTACTTATTCAAGTAAAAAGGAAAAAAGAGAGAAAGGAATAGATTTCAGAACATGATATGGGCAATGACCTTTCATAAATGTGACATCTTATTGTTCTTGGGAATAATTATTTGAATGTGTGTTCATGATCTGCACAGGGTAGCCTCGTTCCTTTTCTTTTACAGTTTGGTGATTAAATAGTTATTTTGAAATGCAGCGAGAAGATTGCTGTTCAGGCTTTGAAGGCTAGTGATTGGCATCTAGAAGGAGCATTTGATGCGTTCTACAGCCAGCCTCAGTCTAGAACATATACTGATTCTAGACATATGGAAGAGCTTTACAACAGATATAAAGGTGAACAGTACTAATCTACCTACTTCTCTCTCTAGTTGCACTTAAATTAGAACCTTCAGTATGCTGCAATTAATAAATTTTAGATGCATTGCCACATGCTTATTGAAAATGTGCATTTAGATGTATTGCTGTATGCTTATTGAGGATGTACTTTTAATTCTATGTTGTTATATTATACATCTGTGCTTTAATATTAAAAGAGGTATTGATGTTAAGATAATCATTAAGGAAGTGGTTGTTGCTTATAACCCTGCTTCATTTGCCACTATTTTGATGCAACCAAATTGATAGTTCTATCCCAGGTAATCTTGGTTCTTCTTCTTTCTTTCTATTTTTCCTTTTACAGAATGCAGTATTCAAACCTAGAGACACCAAATCTCTCTGTTCCAATTATCTAAAAATATAACTTGCTCCATGTTTATTTGAGACTCTGTGCACACCATGTAGGATCCAAATTGACAGAGCAGACATAAATGTCTACAATGTATATACAGATTGCCAATTCTTTTTGGGGTACAGTGTTCACAAAAGAAAAAATATACTGTTAGAATATCTCAGTTATTTGCTCAATGGCAATTCTGATTATCATTCTTTTTGGAGTACCATTATCTGCATGTGTCTTGGTGCATTTGAAGCATATTAAACTTATAAATAATTCATGTTTTTTGTGCATGTATGGATAATGCATAAGTTAGTGGAACAACTTTTTTTAATTGGAAAAGCCCTAATGGTTCTATATAGCATCCAACAACTTACCAAATTTTGTGTGAGTACAAAACTCACTTTTTTCACAAAGATACTCTTTAAAGAACATAGTTACCCTATTTTATATTACTAGCTTAGCGAAATTATGTTTACTCATAGACTTTTGCTCTGATTCGTTTTGCAGATCCTTATGTTGATATGGTACTGGTTGATGGTATCACCATTCTTTGCAATGATCTTCAGGTGCTGCTTTGACTTCTATTTATTTGTTTGATTATAAATGTTGCATCGAATCAGTTCAAAGATTAGAAATTGTTTCTCTTAGATTCTGAAAATAACATCTGAACCTTTCTCATTTGTCAGGTGGATCCTCAAGATATTGTTATGGTATGCATGCATTTATCTGTCCCAATGCTTTGTTTCTGAGGTCATGCATCTGCATATATTTTTATTCACTCACATATGTATTCTGGTATTCTGTTGAATTACTTAAACAGGAAATGTAACCTGATCATGGAACAAGAAAGAACACGTAGACAATTTTGCAAAATTGCAATTGCTTTGCATATGTTATACATTAAATAATAGTTTAATCAGTCTAGAAATTTATATGTTCTTATGTTATTACATTTGACCTGCTTTTTTTATATAGAAATACATTATAGATATCGAGTGGGTATCGGTGATTGAACCAGCACCATTAGATTTAAAGACTAGGGGTTATTGTTGATGTTGATTCATCTACTTTAATGTCTCTAATTCAAAACTGAACTTGACAATTTTGTTTCATCCAGCTCCTTTATTGTTCCCGCTATA